TCCCGGACCCCAGTAATGCCGAGTCACCAAGACCCCAGACATGTGGTCACGCTCAAGGGAAACCAGCACATCAGGAAGTACCCACAGGTCCAAAATCATGTACTCAGGGCCAGCTACATAATTTGCAGGGCCCGTGATTCAAAACTTATTAGAATGAATATCACGGCAGCAGAACATTGCAGCAAGTATGGGGTCCTTCTCAGTGTGCGGTTATGTGCAACAAGATACAGTTTGGGGCTCTATGATATTTGTGACTCAATTAATGGCAGATGCTGCACCAGGAGGTATTCCCCATGGAACGGATGTCTCAGGTAAAAACAGAGCATCTTTCATTTACCCTGGAGTCTGCCACCTCTCACCCCGTCCCTCCCACGTCTGTATTCCTCTGTGCTAACATGTCATCTGCGGTGCTGGGCAACCATCTCTCCACAAAGGAAGGTCGGTCATAGGCGTGATGTGGCTCTGCTGCTGCTAGATGTCCCCTCCTGACACAGGAAGCACGTGCTCAGGTGACCATGAAGGAGTTGCAGCTGCCCCTGTCGGTGAATTGACGAGAAATAGAGCCAAACGATTCCTCAAATGTTGATGAGCCTGAGGTTGGGAAACCAGATACCAGAAGAATCACTGTAGGTGGAAGGACTGGACCAGGACTGTGATGAATTAAACAAAGTAGAAAGAGACACTTGAAGGGTATTTGGGATGCATGAGTCATAAAGGGCAGCAGGAAGCCAGAAGGATTTTCCCCGAAATTCCAAACGAGATTAGATAAATGAAACCAATATACGTATTAATGAAGAATTATCTCTGGGATACAATACACATAAAGTTACAAAGTGTTTTACAGAAAAGTTAACAAAACTTGTAAGACAGGCATCCATTCAGAGGAATGCGTTCTTCCTGCTCTGAGCTGTTCACCGGAGGTTCAGCCTCTGGGGGAAGGGGCGTGGCCCCCTGTGACGGGTTGGCTCTGGGGCCAGGCAGGGACAGTGACACCTCAGAATGACTCCCTGGAGAGCCCCTCTCCCCTCTCATCAACACACAGAAGACCCCACTGCCTGCCCGCCTGCCCTGCCATGGGCACCAGCCTCCTATGCTGTGTGGCCTTCTGTCTTCTGCAGGCAGGTGAGTCCTGGGCAGGGTCCCTTTCGGGGTCCCGGCACCAAGCGTGTCCCCTGTGTCTGCAGCATCAGCTTCTCCTTCTCCACAGGTCCAGGGAATGCTGGTGTCACTCAGGACCCCAAATTCCAGGTCCTGAGGACAGGACAGAGCACGACCCTGAAATGTGCCCAGGATCTGGACCACTACTCTATGTACTGGTACCGACAAGACCTGGGACACGGGCTGAGGCTGATCCATTACTCATCTGCCACTGGCACCACCAACAAAGGAGACGTCCCCAATGGGTACAGCGTCTCCAGATCAAACCTCGAGAACTTCCCTCTCACGCTGGCGGCTTCCACCCACTCCCAGACATCTGTGTACCTCTGTGCCAGCAGTTACTCCACGGCACTGCACGGCCACCTCCTCTCTGCACAAAAAGGCAGGGGAGGCCCTGCACCCCGGGACTCAGCAGAGCCCCTTGCAGGCTCCTAGCACCTGGAGCCTTGGAGCCCTGGGTGCCAGGTGCCTGCAGTGTGACCCTCAGTGTGTGGTCTCGGCCGGCCCAGACCTGACTCCATGGCCTTGCAGATGTGTGTCCACCATCACTCTCTGTCTTTCCTCTGCAGCTGCCCTGTGAGCAGAAAGATGCTGCCCCAGCTCTGACTCCTAGCCATCAGTCTGAGTCTGAGGGCTCCAGGAGGGAACGTTATTGGTAAATCACATACATCTAGATCCTCTTGTCTATCCCCAGGCACCTCACTTCTGTTTCTCTGGAAGGTTCTCCCCCAGACTGGCCCTTACGTGCTCTCTGCTCTTTCCTGCCTTTCCCTGGCAGGACAGGTCTTCCCACCTCCCTGACCTCAGATTTCCGGCCCTCTCTACTCCAGCCAGGCTGCTCCTGCCTCATCTGGGTCATGTCCCTTCCCATCTCAGAGACGTCAAAAGCAATTTCTTCTGCACTGGACACAGACCATTCCTTTTGTTGTGATCCTGCCCATGTTCCTGTTCAAGGTCCCACTGGGTGGTCAGGCAATTCTGGGCACACCTGTTTCCCAGGAGAATTGTGAACACGGTCGGGGTGTCTCTGTTCGAGCTTTTCCAGGTCCGGACCATGAACTTTCCCCTTGTTACTGTGGACTACGCCTCCTTCCTACTCATAAGCGGGCCTCCGTCTTCTGTGTGTGTGTGTGATGATTACAAGTGTGTTCTTCCTTACTGTCCCCAACTTCTGTCCCCACAGGTCACACAGGAGCTGGAGGGTCCCAGTCCCCCAGGCACAGGGTCACAGGGAGGGGCCAAGCTGTAGTTCTTGGGTGTGACCCAATTTCTGGTCATGTTTCCCTTTATTGGACTGACAGACACTGGGGCAGGGCCCAGAGCTTTTGATTTACTTTCAAAACAAGGATGCACCAGAGGCATCGGGGATGCCTAATGATTGGTTCTCTGCTGAGAGACCTGAGGGCTCGTGCTCCCACCTGAAGATCCAGCCAGTGGAGCCCAGGGACTCAGCCGTGTATCTCTGTGCCAGCAGCTTAATCAAACAGTGTCACACCGTCGCTTCCTTCTTGTTCACAGACCTCATCCTTCTCTCTCCTTGCAGTTCCTAGAGACCTTAAATTGGCTGTTTTTTGCTTTCCATTCACCAAAAAAAAAAAGAGGTTGATTTGGACATCAGCTGTTCTTTGGATAGAAAGAGACCACAGGTTAACTCCTGAAATACTGTGGCTGTAAATGTTGGTGGATAGAAATCATTATGGCTCCTGTGTTCTAGGAGTCCCAGGGCTAGCTCAGTGCTCCAAGGCAAGGACCCAAAGTCCTGGACATAACAGTCTTCCATGGGGCCTTAGGGGGGCTGCCCAAATACCTGGCTTTGGCTGCCTGTCTGTGCAGTGAGCAGAATCTCCTCTGTGCTTGTGGATGGCATCTGGAAAGTTTTCAACTACCTCCTGGGGCATATTCTTTCTTCTAAAGCCTCTTCTGTCACATTGGAAGTTTTCCACAACATAGCATCAAGACTCTCTTCCTGTTTTATTTTTTTATTTTTATATTTTGTGGTACGCGGGCCTCTCACTGTTGTGGCCCCTCCCGTTGCGGAGCACAGGCTCTGGACGCGCAGGCCCAGCGGCCATGGCTCACGGGCCCAGCCGCTCCGCGGCATGTGGGGTCCTCCCAGACCGGGGCACGAACCCGCATCCCCCGCATCGGCAGGCGGACTCTTAACCACTGCGCCCCCAGGGAAACCCTCTCTTCCTGTTTTAAGTAAAGTCCTTACTACTTTTGTGCCAGTTAATTGACAAACACAATGTTGAAAACAATAAGACTTCATTTCCTCTGCCTCATTTCAGCAGCCCACTTTATTTTGTTTTCATGTTTTCACTGCCCCAGTCCCGACAGGTACACTAGAGCATACTTTTACAACCTCTCCAGTGTCATCTTGATTCCCTGAGTAAATCTGTTCTCGAGAGACTGTTTTATTTCATGCCCTAGTCTTTCAATTTGAAATAATTTCCCTGAAACCTTTACCTTATTTTCTAATGCCCCATCCCTTTTTATGTATTTGCTATATTATATATTGTTATAGATATTCATTATAAGCATAAACACCTATATTGTAAATAACATCTTCCATCCACCTGTGGGAGAAGCTGCAGTTTGAATGTATGAAATCTAAGGCCCTGGTCAGAGTGGATATGATTATGGATCATGTCTTCTGGGAGTCCTAAGAGATAACCCAGCTCCGAGACTGGGATTGAACGTTACGGCCATGGTAGAGGCTCCCTGAGCCTTGCATAGCAGGTAAGGGGAGTGACAGTTGCCCCAAATCCACTTATCAGAAATTGGAGTGGCTCAGTACACCAAATTTCTTTCCCCAGGGAGTGAGCATCCATGGGAGGGAGTTTTCCTGGTCTTTAATTGTGGCACCAGCAAAGCCCCCCTCGCTCTGTGGCCCTGTGCCTCTGGGGAGTGAGGAGAGCCAGGGCACACATGGGAATTCCCTGCTCCTGGAATCCCATTCCAAGGACTCCCTTTCTAGACTTCATCTTCCATTTTTTTTTCCCATTTCCCCCCCCATTTTTGCCACATGAACCTGGCAGATTCAGCCTCCTTATAATACTATTTTGTACCGATGTTTTCACATCTCCTAACTCCTCTGCTCCTTCCAGAATCATCATCTCTTCCCTCCCTGCTGCTCAAATCAGCAGATGCACATTGTACAAGTTTTCATTTAGTGGAGACTGTCCCTTGCTGGTCTTAATTCCATCCATCCTTATTTCCCCATCAGATACTGTTTCCTCCATGATTGCTTAATGCCTTGTAAGATGTTCTTATTTCTCTTACATTCCAATTTTACTTTTTATTCGTACACATTTGACCCCATCTCGAAGGTAATTTCATTACCTTCCCAGTCCTTTGCTAATCTATATTTTGGAGTTAACATTGGTTGTCTTTTATTTTCTTCAGCATTTTTATTTATCTTTTGTAATGAAGGTAAAAGAACCTCCTTACACTTCAACGTCTTGTGTTTTTCTTCCTATTTTAAACATTAAAGTAAACATCAGTTCCCTTAATTTCTCCCATTCTACCCCTCTCCCTTTCAGAAGATAATTTTAAGGGGGAAGAACTCAGTTGGCCTATATCTGCCAGATAATGCGATAGTGGTTAAGCAGAATGAGGGCGGCCTATTAAGCATGATAAATCAACGGAATAGTTTGGGTTAGAACTAGTGTTGGGATTAGCGTTGAAGGAAGTTGAGTATAAAAGGTGATCATGCAGACACTTCCGGCACCCCTTGGGCCACTGCAGAAGAAACAGTGATGAAACTTCAGGTGTCGGCCACAAGATGGCACTGTGGCGCCACCGAGATCTAAGGGGCTCTGGGCAGAGTCTGGGAGAGCAGCCTGGGAGGAAAAGGGTTAAGAAAAACGTAGGCGTGGATCCACTACTCGACAGCTGTTGAAGATATTTTCAGTTATTGCCAAACTACCTACAGCTATGGAAGAGGTGGGAGGCCCCTCTAAACTGTCATGAGATCCACAGCTGAAGGATTTGGACGAAGCAGCCTTGATGTCAGGGGCAGGTGCAAACAAGGAGCAACTGTGTCAGAGGAGTATGGGAAACCCAGGGGGTGGAGTGCACCCAAAAGTCAGTGAGTCGCAGCCCCACTCCACCTCCCCTGCAGGCATGCTAAGCAACGTCTAGGAGAGGAGACGCTGACCTCACCTGAGCCAAGTCACAGGGGATCCTCCCGGGGCGGGGAGAATCTGCAGGGGTAGGGGGAGTGACATCCCAGGCAGCCCCACCTGGCCATTGAAGAAGGGACCCCCAGCTCCCTCTCTCAGGCCTGTGGATCAGAGCATTTAGTGGGGACGGCTCTCTTCTTGCCCTCACCCTGCCTTGAGCCCCAGCCTCTTTTGTGTGATTCTTTGTCTGGGGGTGGCAGGTGAGTTCGGAACTCAGCTGAAACCTCTGCTGTGGGTTTGCAGAGCCCCAGCTCCAAGGCTTTCCCTTTCCTTTGCAGATCCACATCACTCATTGAGCCTTGTCTTTACTGTGTGTCTGCCTCTTCAGCAGGTCCCATGGATGCAGCAGTCACCAAGAAGCCAAGATACCATATTATACGAGCAGGAAACAAGATGGTCCTGGATTGTTCTCAGCATATGAACCATCTGGGAATGTTCTGGTATCGGCAAGACCTGGGACAGGGGCCGAGGCTGATCCATTATTCAAATGGCGCCAGCGCACTGGCGAAGGGGATGTCACGGGGGGGGGGGTACAGTGTCTCCCGAAACAAGAATGAACATTTCCCCCTGACCCTGGAGCCGGCCAGCACCAAACAGACCTCCCTGCGCCTCTGTGCCAGCAGTGAATCCACAGCACGGCACAGTCAGCCACTCTCTGCACAAAAAGCTCGGCCACAGGCGTGAGGTGGACACTTCTCCCTGAGGCCACGTCTCACCAGGGGAGAAAAACTGCTCATTCCGAAGCTCTCACCAGACTAGTGTGAACTGAGGTCCATCAGCGTGAGGGGTGTGAGTGTGTGTGTGTGTGTGTGTGTGTGCGTGCTCTAATTTGAAAAGACACATGACCCCAATGTTCACTGCAGCACTATTTACAATAGCCAAGACATGGAAGCAACCTAAATTCCCATCAACAGATGAATGGATATACACAATGGAATATTACTCAGCCATTA